TATAATATAATATAATATATATGTACGTACATATATGTACTTACTCACGTGTACGTACGTGTAAGTGTATGACAGATGGTTGGATGGATGGCTATATAGATGGATAAATAGATAGACAGATAGATAGATGGATGGATAGATAGATAAATAGATAGATTGACAAATTGATAGATATATAGATAGATAGATAGATAGATAGATAGATAGATGGATAAACATAGGCAGGTAGATATTAGGGTAGAGAGATAGATCGGTGGATGGAGGGAAAGATAGGCATGCAGATCGATCGATAGACCAATAGGCACAATCAGTGGTTCACATCCATGCACCTGTCTCTGTCTCTGTCTGTGTGTGGGCAACATGGGAAGGCCCATTGTTTCGCATGGAAGTGACCCGAGACCCTTCCGAGCCACAGCCGAATTAACGCGAACACTGGTATGGGACACAGGCCTATTTCTAAAGATTTATGGGAAAGGCTGGGGGTGGCGCCTACTGTCATCAGGAAGACTGAGAAGTCGCTCGTAACGTTCCAATGTCGCTTCCTGGGCAGCAGCACTGCTCGCGTTCGAACATGACTGCGCAGCAACTGCAGGGCCTCTCTGCTCAACGTGCCGGGACGCAACGGCCGGTCTAAGGCGGGTGCTTCAACATCCTCGAAAATCAGCGTTGTGTTTGGGTGCCTGGCTCAGATCGGCCACGTGAAATGCCAGGGAGGACGGCTACTGCATTTACGACGAAACTTCCTCACTGTGAGCTCGGCACAGCCTCTCTTGCATGATTATAGCATGCTCAACTTCGTAGGCCACTACATATAAACTGAAAGCAACAGCAGCCTGCCTTTTTAAAAAGCGATGAACCGTTTCCGGTTTTGGCTGCCTCGGTTTGCCGCAGACTCGCCTCTCGTGGAGTGAAAGGCCGACAAGCTCGCCACGGGCCTTTGGGGCTAAGTGCGGCCACGGTGCTTCTGTGGGTCTCGGCTGCACACGCCGATAACTCGTCCGAGGGGACCCAAAGTGTCCTGCAAAGGTTGCAAGGGGGCAACTTGTCGCTTCGGGGTGAAGACCACCCTTGTGCTGTTGCCCCGCGCTCCGAAATGTGGCTCAAGCTCTGGAGGGAGCAGTGGATGGCAAAGACATTGCTCTTGGGCCTCGGCCAGTGCAAAAAAAAGAGGCCGAAAGCCGAGGGCCGAAAGCCGAGGAGCCGAATAGGAAAATGGATGAGCTGGTTGTGGATGGCCGCTGCCAGGGGACCTCTGACTGCAACTCGCAGTTGCATCTGCCGAAGCTCATATTGTCGGGCTCCCACATCGCGAAGGGTCCCATGGCCGCAGCGTCGTCTTTTGACCACGATACGTCAAGGTGATTGGGCCTGGGATGGACAGAAGCTGACGGCTGCCTCTAAAGGTCCCTTTCAGTGTCTGGGCCGCCCACAGTTACCGCTCGGCGCCTGGCTCGCGGCACTCATGCAATGTCGCGCGGACATTGCAATTTGAGCACAAGACCACGAAGCCTAAGCGGACAACAATCTACAGGGTGGGCCTTCCCTTCACCAGTGTCATTCCAATCCTTCAACAGGCGTGGTGTGACGTTGTTCAATCGCTGGCAGATGCTCGCAATGATGCAGCCAGGGCTCCCACTAGCGGCACTAGCGTAGGCAACCCTAGCCCCCCTCTCTCTTGAGACAGTATCGATGTCAGACCCACCCTGGCCATGGCCTCGCATTCGTCCACAGGTCCTTCCCGGAGTGTGCAGATAACCTGACATGAAGCTCAAGACATAATGAGATATAATGAGTACCCCAAGTCCGTGCTTTTTCCCCTCTCCGGCCTGTGCTTGTCTGCTGGTGGAAGGGGAGGATCTCTCCTGCCGAAAGATCACGAAAGCTGGCGACCACAGGAGCCCACAACCTCCCCAGGAACACGACAACAGCGAGCCCTGCTCTGCCTCACTTTCCAGGGAGGGCTTTCCTTGGAAAAAATGGGAAGCTTCATGGAATCTTCACAAATGTTCCACTCCTAGGTCTTTCGTTCCCTGAGCACACGCGCCACGTGCATTGTTTCTCATCAGAGCGCCGCAGCGGAATGGAAAATCGGATCCCGTCCCATACACCCATTCGACATCCTGGGCCACTGAGGTGCAGGTTCTCGGACACCGGTGCCAGCTAAATTCTCTACAGGTCAAAGTCGACATCTACACGCGACGAGTGCATTCGGTGCCATCTGGGTTCGAATACATCGTGCGTGGTGCGGACAAAGCAGATCGTCTCGAGGCCACCATTATTCACCAGCTCGAGACCACAGCGTCATCGAGCCGCGGCTCCAAGCTTCTAGCCGTAACCTTTGCATGTCTTGGCCTGTCATGTTATGGTAGCAGCACAGGTAGGCGTGGACGGTGGGAACAAGGGACCGAGCCAACGAGCAGTGGCGCCGCAGTGGACTTCGCGCTAGTGTTCAAAAGGAAACTACTTGTGGCGAAGATGAAGAGTTGGTTGGTGTCAAACATATTCAAGTTGGTGCTGTGAATGGCTATGTAGCGGCTATGAACAGCCTGAGAACTCAATAGAATTGAACCATTTCGTCGGCGGCGGCCTACGTGGAAACCACTTACACCAAAGAAGATGTTGTAGCAGCAGGTGATCGTCTTGTTGCCCCCGAACTGATGAGACCGTGAAAATGTGCCAGCAGCCGTCTCCAAGAACCACCGGCTGCATTCTGACCTCCAGGTGGAAGGCTCCATCGTTTCATGCCAAGGCCTGTTGCGCCCGAGTTGAGGCACGTGTGTTCCACTCGCAATTCTTGGCTCCTCAACGCCTGCCTTAAAGTGCTAATGTCTTCACAGGTGCAACTGATGGGCTTGACGGAGGCCTCGACCGTCGCTGACAGAAACCAGGAGTTCGGTGATGTTGCACATCTTGCAGATTTGCAAGAACAGCTCCAGGCCACTGCGTGCCCATCGGCTGTGGGCTGGCAATCCTGTACACAGATAGCGATCCAAGAAAGACCCTCCCGGGCTGCAAGAGTTTTACAGCGCCCCCTGAGCAGATTATGGCTGAGGAGAACATATGACAATGAGGCTAAGCCAGAGAAAAATGTTACACTGGCTAAACCATCTCGAAGGTCATTCGCGACCCGCGCAAAGACCAGCCCCGCATTAATCCGTTCATGCCAGCTCTGCTTCTGCTTTCCAAGCCTTTTTCGAGCACGTCTGTCCGCAGCCTCAGCACTACAACATCTAACAGAATCTGACACTGAGAGAACTGCAAGGGCAGTGGCACACTCGAGCCTAGCAGGCTTCACTCGACCGTGTGCGAGTCAACTTCAAAAGCTCTGCGCAAACCCGGTAGCCGCAAACGCTGTACATGGCTCGACAGACTCTAGACTTTCTGAATCTCTGCGATCTCCTTCTGAAAGGCGGCAGACTCTCAGTTGGAAATCGAGATGCTGACCTGCAACATCTTATGTTGCTGCAGAGCTGCTCATGGCCATGTCACCATGTCACTTGAGGTCTAGCAGTGAATTCACACAGAGCATGTGTTCAGGAGTGGGAATGAACCAAAGCCTCAATCATGGCGTTGATGAAGGTATTGCAATGCAAGTAGCCCTGCACCTGGGTGCCGCTTCAAGTCGTTCTCCAACCAATGACGCTTTCCAGCTGAGAGCTGCGCGTTTGTGATGCTGACCTGACAAATGATTATTGAGCAGGAACACGACGGTTCATGGACAGAAACACAAGCGACCAGCTGGCTTTGGGGTCGACAGCCAAGTTTGGACCACACCGCTTGAAAGGCACCCCTGCTGGCTAAAATAAGAAAAACTGCATATGCTCCGTAGCAGCCGCTGTGGCCGTTAAACGCCTCATGCATCTTTCCTGAAACAGCCACAGATCGAAAACCAAGGCCACTTTAAAGGGCACATGTATGTCATGCTGAGCACTCTTCAGGACGGTCTTTTTGGGGGGCTTGGAATGCTGTGTCCTGTTTCAACCGTGTTGTGCTGAAAACGCTGCCAGGCGCGGGTCGTTGAAACGTCTCAGCCTTTTCGCTTTTGCCAGTGCTGAGGCTGGGGTGCATATGCTGTCAACCAAACGATGTGACGAAACTCATGTTGGGTGAAGTGGGCATGGTGGTGCTCCTCAGAGTGACTCCGACGGCAGGTACAACAATAAAGACGGCATGTGCTCAGTGCAGCGGCAAGAGCACGACTTGTGGCAGAGCAAGGAGCGGGCGCATGAGTGAGGCCGACGCAAGAACATAAAGTTGCACTCAGACACACCCTGTGCACCCAGTCAACATGCAGACCAGCGTCTGATCCGGATATGACGTGGTAGGACCCCTTGGCCAGATCCAGCGTAGTGGTTGTAGACGGCCGGGAGCCGCGGCATTCCTCGTGAATGCCAGAAATCCCTCCAAACACGTGCACAAGCTATCCCGTGCACGGATGAAAGTTGGTATGTCATCGCCCAAGAACCAACCCAGCAACCAACACTGGCCTTCCAACAACATCACTAGGTAGCTACTCAGGCACCGATGTAATCAGTAATCCAAGCAGGCTCTTTCAGTGTCATGCTTTCGCTTTTGCCATCGTGGTGCCTGCTTATCAATCGCCTCTTCTTGCTTTGCCGCAGCGTTTCGTGTCCGGGGAGCTGCGTTTCGGGTCCGCATGGATGCGTTTCAGCCTCTTCAAGAGGGGGTTTCGGACACGCCCGGGTGCGTTTCAGGTCCGGCCACTGTATCTTGAAGGTTTCGGGGGGTTCACATGCGCACGCACCGTTTTTCTGCGCTCTCCACAAGTCTTTCACCCCTCAGCCAGAACCCTCATCCGAAGCACAGAGCCCCAAGATGGCTAATGCCCAAACACCCTCAACACTAAACCCGCAACCCCAGACCCTACGCCCCAAAACCCTAAACCCTGAACCACAAACCCCAACCCCAAACCGGCCCAAACCCTAAACCCGAAATCCTAAATCCAACCCTAAACCTGAAAACGATGACCCTCAACCATAAACCCTAACACCTTCACCCTAAACCCTACACTCTACACCCTACAGTCCAAACTCAATAGACAAAGCCAAAAAACAAACTAATCTAAGCACTCAACCCTGAAATCGTGTATGCCCAAAAACCCTAAACCCGAAACCCACAAGAAAGTGGTACATAGAAGTTGCTTGTCTTTGTTTGTAACCACAGCTACGGCCCCAGCCAGGCCCAACACTCCAATCCCAAAATCAAAATGAAATTGCAAAAGCAAAACTCACTAGAATTGATGTGTCTGCCACGTCCCCCGGCCAGCTTACCGCAAGCGAAGCGTTCCTCTCTCTTAAGGGGGCCCTAAACCGATCCTAAACCGTTCGGGATCGGTTTTTAAAATTTACTGCTTTGGTCTTGCCTCCGGTTCCGGGTTTTTCTGGTTTTAGTGCTTGTCCAGGCGCTGTCCGCCGTCCCAAAGCCCGCATCCAGCCCGGCGGCCCTCAGTCTCTTGCCCTTCCGTGTCCCTGGTTCCTTAACTCGGCACTCCGGGCTTCCACTCCCTGGCTGCCAAACCCTGGCTTCGACTCTGTCGCCGAGCTCCAGTTCCCAGCCTGGCGATGCCATTTGCGAAATTTCGAAACCAGTCTTTCCAGGCCCCGGGGCTGCCCAGCTTTCCTTACCGCAGATCCCGGCGCTCCCGAACCCGTGCGCACAGTTTCCAGCCCTCGAGCTTCTTAATCCTGATTCTATCTGTGGGTAGTAGATCTTTGCAGGATTGAAAAGATACTCTTCCAATGTAACGCCGGGGTCCACCCGAGATCTTGTAGGATTTACAAGGTACTCAACAATGTAATGCCTGGGCCCAAATTTCCTCCAGCAGCCTCTACCTCCTGGACCCAGAATGAACACCAGCCCTAAACCCGAGGTTTGTGTACATGTGCAGAGTCTTTGAAGCAGTGGAAGCAAGAACCTTAAACTGTAAGCCATTACTTAATGCAAGGCCTAACACGCCTCGGATCGGGAAGCAAAGGCGTGGCAAACACTCCCAGCCTCGATCTCCCCGAGAATCTCGCGGCACGTACCGCCTGAAAGTGCTCAGCTGCTCCGTGTAGAACCCCTGAGGTCGAGCAGAACAGCTCAGCGCCAAACAGCAACGATTCCGCAAGGGCAAAGGCAGAGAAGAAGGCTGATAGTGCCCAATGCCCGCAAACACCAATCTAGCCCCAGTGCCGGCCCGAAGAGCTCGCGCAACCCGGGCTTCCGGAGCAAATTCGCCCGCGGAGCTCAATCCCCGAGCCAGGTGGCGATGGGTTCCCAAATCAAAGGCAAGGAGATCAGGAACGGCAGACCCCTTAAGCAAAATGTCCTCTGCCACAGTGAGGTTGCCTTGCAAATAACTCGGGGAGCCGGAAGGCTGCTCCCCAGCAAGGGGTCCAGTCGAGGTCTGGGCACCTGAAGTAGATGTGCGCGCCGGCTCGCTGTGAAGCCGAAGCGTGGGCGAGGAGGCCTGCGAGCCGTCTGCCGTGGAATCACGAATCTCAGGAGAGCGCGTGATGGTAATCTGCAACCCCGAAAACTGTAAAGTGAGCTCTTCCACGCCAGAATCCCCACCACTCATTCACTGCGGTATTCCCTCAATCTGCCACGCCCTCGTGAGCCCACCTGCACCACCAGACGAGCATCAAAAAGACTGGGCCGCCCAAGCCAAGAAAAATCCAAAGCCCCTGCGAAATCCCGCTAAGAGCACCACTGCTGCCGAACAGATCCCACAGGCACAGCCGACGCAGCAGGCACAAAGACAGAAAAAGGCTGTGGCGAAAAAGCCCGGCACGCAAGAACTAGAGGTGTCAAAGATGCGCACCTCAAGAAGTACCTCGGGCAGGGCGGCCCACATGAGCCGAGATGATCTTCGAGAGTCGTCTGTGGCTTCGGCAGAATGGGATAGTAAGCAATCCCAAAAACAACCCTAGAGCCTCAACCCCAAACCCTAAACCCTGCATCTGAAATGCACCAGGCTTGCGTCAAAATTGGCCCTGACATGATGTTGAATTTGCACTGCCCTGGGCCGGAAATCCGGGCCTGATTTCGGACCTGAAATGCGCCACCCCTCCCTGCCTCCCTTCGCGTCTGAAACATACAACTCTCAAGAAGCGACAATCCTTCTTTCATTCCCACTCCGAGCTGCCTGAGCCCCGGCCAGGCGCGCGAGTTTGCAAGCGCTGCGGTCAAGAGGGACGACTGGCAACTTAGCACCAGGAGATGCATTTCGTGTGCGCTTGGTTCGTCGAAGCCGCACTAGCATGCAACAGAGGCTGGCTATTATTGCAGAGTGATCACTGGAGACTGGCTTATGGTTCTGGCCCAAGCTGCTGTGTCGCTCAGGGTGTGATGGGGGAATGCTGGATCCTCGAGCACCATTTCAAGGAAAACACAAATGAGACAGAGGGAAGACCCACTTTCAAAGCGTCGCTGGGAAGAGGAATGGGGTGCCAAAGAATGCCAACTCCAACTGCCCCTTCGCTGCGGGTCCCAAGACTTCTTCCACTCGACAGAGCAGTTGGGCTGATTGAAAATCATCGTCAGGTTCACACCTCAGAGGAACAAAGTAAGAGATGCTCTTTATTTTGCAACGAAAGTTGACTGGCCACCTTCAGATTTCTGCCCGGATGCGTGAAACGGAGTGGCCAGTGTCGATGACGAAACCTTGTGCACTTGCCAGGATTCCAGTAGGCTGAGGGTTGGAATCCCCTTGTTCTGTGGAGAAGCTGGTCTGTGTTGCCCTTGTTGCCCTTGCTAGTCACTCTGCCCCCTCTTTGCATCCAGGCATCCGGGTCGCACAGCATGTACCTTAAGCACACTGACACGGAACTTCTTGAGTAGCGGACAGCACTCCAGCGCTTTGCCGCCCAGCTGCAGAGCAGTGCTGGACGTGCTGCTGTGTGTTGTGGCAGTGCACGTCGGTGGTAGTGAATGAGCCATCAGCAACATGGACGACGAGGTCCTCGAAGTAAAATGGAACAAAGGGAGAACTCTAAACACAGCGCAATGCATCCGAATCACCTCCCCTCCCCATTGCGGAAAGCAGCCGAACAGGCACCAAGACGATGCTCATGCTCCAGACGCTTACATTGGCTTACATCAGGATGATAGTTCAAAATCTCTGAAAAGCTGGGTCACCGCGGTTGTCGACTGTTCTTGATTCTTCGCTGTACTCAGACTATAGGGAGCCTGTCGAAGGAGCTACAGCCTGAGGGACGGACCAGGTCGTCTACCTTTGTCACGTGCTGAAAGTCCAGGTAGACCTGAAGTGCCCAACTCTGCGGCCTCTGCGGCCTGCGCCTGCGGGGTGCCTTCCTGCTGGGCTACCACGCTTCCTCCTGGTGGGCCGCGAAGCCCTTGAAGGAATCGCAGCGCTTTCTGCCTGACAAGACTCTGAGGTTGGATGCTCGACACAGAGGCTTGGCATGGCTTGGCTACAAGTAGCTCTTTGTGTCTTTGTGGGCAACGACCAATGGGACTCACGGCCATCGGAGCCAGGACAAAGAGCGTTGCTCTTGCACGTTGACTCGGCTGACGATTGACATCTTGTGCCAGCTTTGCTTGTGCCATCCGGTTGGGGAGGTACAACGTGCATCGACTTGTTGCAACCCCCCTGTCGCAGATGCACTGTGTAGATGGCATGTGGAATGCACCACGACGTTGCAGGTTTCAATACATCTGACTCCGAGCAAAGTCACGACCAGAAAACCCTGCCTTCTAAGTGGATGAATTGCGCCGAAGAGTAGATGCCCTGCATGACAATCAAGTCGCGCCAATAGGCCAGATCAATTTCGAATGTCCTTATCGCACTTAAGTTTGTCCCTCCGGACGGTCACAGGCAGGGACTCAGGGTTTCATCCCGGAGTCCCACAGGCGAGGTTCAGTTGCGCCAACCTCCAAAGGTAGGCTTTCTCTACGCTTTTGTTGAGGCCCCCCAAGAAAGGGCTGAGAGATGCTATAGGTACATGGCCGCTGCACGGAAGATATCCCACGACGTCAGGACTGCCCGACACCATAATTCTTTCAGGCCATCGCAACTCCTACACGTCTGGGGTAGCTTGCAGCTCGGTCGCCGGGCAGGGAGAAAGCCGCTGTTGTTGGAACATCCCTGTGCCCACATCGCTCCTCGGATAAAATTTGCTGGCGGCAACTCTATGCCAACAGGCCGGGCTCCGCAAACAAAATTTGGCCGATCCGCTTGAAGTTCAATTTTCAGGACGTCTCTCGCAACGTCTTTGAGACCTATGTATGGGCCGGCCAGAATCCCAAAACTGTGCTCGGCTGTTCCTCGCTTGTTACCCCTTCTGCCGGGGAGCTCGCGCAAACCCTCTTGTCAAGCTCGAGGGCCTGCCGGCACTTCAGGTCAGTTTCGAAACCAATCATGACAATGCTTCCCCCAAGGCCTACATCCAAACAAACTCTCAGACCAAGCTACGAACATTAACATGGCTCTTGGTGATCTCAGGACCTGCCTTCAAAGGCACGGTGCCGTCCATCCTTGACCTCACCTGTCGGCTTCAAGGAAAGCTGGCAGTCCATCATGTCCGTCGTTAAAACTGGCGCGTGCTACTGCTGCTACCAAGCCATCAGTTCGCAGTGTTGTGCAAGAAACGTTGCCCTGAATGGATTCGGTGTGTTGCTTACACTTCCCAGAAGCCAAGCCGGATCTTCAACCATCTCGTGCAGCCGCCAACAACTCCCCAAATAAAGGGTGGCCTGAATGGACTCGACAGCACAGTCCGTGTCAGCAGAGACAACTGTCAGTTGCCTCAGCTGACCACGCTGAGACAGGCCGTCAAAGTTTGCGGACAAGAGGCATCGTCTTTTGGGTTTTGAATGCCGGGCTATCCTTGGACACATAATAAAGTAGTTGTGACAGCTTGCAACAGCTATGACGTACATGTCCGACCTGCGACGCGAAATGGTGCATTAGGATTTGCAGCCGAGATTCAAAAATCGTTGCAGTCCATCGTTCCGCTTCGTGTCCATACAACAAGGGAGTGGCTGACACGTTGTCCGACATCAAGTGGAAGCTTAGCATTGTGAACCTTACGACAATCCGAGAGCCGAGTCCAAGAGAAATTTAAGTGCATCCAACTAGCAGCCTTGGTGAAGGAAAAAACAGATTTCAACTGTTTCAACAGCATCCTGCAACTATTGGCGGCGGTGACTGTTCCATCCCAAGGACGCATGTGCACCACCAGGAAGGAAACGCATGTCCGTGACCCGGTAGAAGTTTGTCGCATCCACCTGAGACAGGCTGCCTATGGCGGTCAGCAGGCTTAACTGAGCAAGGCCAAACCCATGCCAGGTGTCCGGTCGCAGAAAACGATCTGGCATCTGGCTCGACTGTTCTTCTTGTAGGCCGCCACCATCGAAATTCTAAAGGCTTTTTAAAGGGTACACTCCCTAAACCCTGAACCTTCTTCTCCAAGGCTCGATTGGCAAGGTGGTGCGACCCACGTTGACCGATAATTTCACCTCAGGCTAAAAAGGGGTACTTTCGGCCAACAATTCTGCCTCGAAGGCCTCCTACAACGTGCAACTTTGGGGCTTCATAGCCCGCTGCATCATCCAAGGAATCGCCAGTCCTGATGAGTGATGCCCTTTGGCATCCTTTCGCAATACATGCAATACCCAGAAGCCCTTCATTGCCCAATGACAAGCGTCGAGAGGTTGCGGAAGCTCAACACTGGGCCGCTCCGTTCAACGGAGTGGCAGACCTGCTCCTTCTCGGAGCCTCGGATGCATTCAATCTGCAGGATCATCTCCGGATGAAGCTGTGCTCTCGGGCTTCCAGAGCTCAAGACTTCCGTGCCCAAACTCCTGTGGCTGTCGGATATCGCGTGCCCGGTTAAGCCAAGTCCGAGAAGCACAGCTCGGCGATGAGCCTTTTGGAAAACAGTGTCTGAGGCCGTCCCAATCCGAAAACAGATCCAAAGACATGGCGAAGTGACAGAGTGAGCTCCGGGCTTGGCAGAGCGAAGGTGCAGGAAGTGCCTTGCCTCGTCCTGGCCAGCTTTCCCACCTCACAGCGACAAAACTTCGCGGCGCCGCTTAGCATCATGGCTCCAAAGCAGCCAGGTGGCAGCTGCTCCAAAGAGGCTGGTAAACTGCATAGCAGCCGGCAACCGTATGATGCGCGACCTCATGGGTTTTAGTGCCTTAAGTGGAACCAGCTTCGGACTTCGCGTATCACATTCTTAGGACGGAGCAGCAGAGAACGGTTGGGACAGTTGCTGCTTCTCACACTCCTGCCAGCTCAGGCTTCCTCTGCAAGACTCTTCCGGATCGCTCCAGACCTGACCTGCTTCGTCATGTTGGGCATGAAATGCGTGGTGAAGCGACCAGTGCGGTGATTCTCCGGAATGCCCATGACGTAATGGGCCATCCTTTGCCAGGTATAGTTCCAAGTGCAGGCAAATGCCTTAACCGATCTAATGCTTTGGAATGATAAATGGGGTCGGAGAGACAAAACCAGTATTCGGCCCGGTTCTGAGGATCGCCAGCTGCCAAAACCATTGCGTGGGTTCCGAACTAGTTCTTCGGCGTCCGTGCTGTTGTGTTCGGCTGCTCCTTCATGAACAGTTTGTACCTCATTGAAATGCGACCGTCGATTCGATATGTTCATGTCGACTGTCTCGACCTCCAGCGGTACATTGATCCAGGGGCCTTGGCTACTGAAACTGCTGTCGCGTGAGTAATGGATGATTACCCGAAGGAGAACCCGAAAAACTGACCGCTAAACACATAAGGCTGCTTTGCCTGCCGTCCAGCAACGTTGCCACAAATATCCCCAAGGAATGCACCGGTGGAAGAGTCTGCCGTCATCAGTCCGACCGGTAATAGTCACAGATTCAGGAAGGAAGCCTGCGAGAGCGTGAATCTTGTTGCAGGTTGACAACGCAGAGTGCAGCCTGTGATCTGGTGACGGATGGCCATGGATAACACCAACAGAAGCCACTCGCACCCCGGTCTTACCCGGAACACTGCCTGATTTGAGGATTTGCACCGAGTAGGAGTTGTGTGCAGTTGTATCCCAAGCATCGATCTTGATGTTGTAGGGATAGTGTTCCTGACAGGGTAGGAGCAAATCTAGAAAAAAACGAGCAGATGCTGCCATGCAATATTGGATTCGGCATGCAGATTGTGGTAGGTAGCCAAAACGGGGTTGAGACTGAGATGGAGATGGGCTATCGCGAAGTACAGTCTCTGAGGACAAAATGTGCACAGCCCACAGTGGAAGAGGAGCTGCACTCGCACTCGACATGCCTAGGTTGGGGATCTCAACTTCTCGTATTGAAGGATGACCCAGGATCAAGGCGAGAGTTGCGCGTGCCTTGTCCAGAGTGACAGCTTTGGCGATGCTGCTTCCCCAGGTCCACTGCGACTGCACACCGGGCTCGGAGGAGTCGTGCCTGAGAATGGTGATGGAATCCGGTCTCGGTGAGATGAACTCAGCCATCATAGCAGCTGGTGCTAAGCACAAGTTAAATCTCAAGTGAAACCCGCAGGCAGCTTCTATCTGGCTGACATGGACATCTCAGTGTTTTGTTGAATATGATGACACAAAGAATCCCCACGCAGACCAGGATCACAACACATTCAGCCTGTGATTAAGAACCGCGTTGCATTGCCAGCTCCGTGACATCTTTCGGGTTTGCCTGGTTCTGGTCTCTTTCCCTTCACTCCATTGAGCAGATCGGCTACGGAGCTCCATTTCGCTCTCTCTCTCTCTCTCTCGTCCGTCCGCACTCCGGGACGTTTCAGGCGGCACGCTACGTCAGAGTCCACCTGCAGAAGTCAATCGGTCAAGCATTTTATGAGCCACTGAGAAAACTGATTCATCACTCCGCCCAACTGTTGGACTGTGACGGCTGCACGAAAGAGATAAAGTTGGGGTTTTGTTTAGTGTTTGCGGGCTTCGGGTACCACCGAAACAAATCACAAAGCAAGTCTAAGTCTGTCAGACAATGCCAACGCCGAGGGAGAACGTTTCTGCCCTGGACGCCAACTCCGCTGCAAGAACCATCAGCCCGCCTGTGCGGAGACGGATATCATCGATTGCATACGGTCAACGAGGATGTTGTAGTCCTGAGAACATGGGATGCCTCAAATACAGTCCATCCACAAGTCTTGGCTAAACTCTCATCGGAAGGCCCTCCACTGCAGGGACGGGGCTGGGGCTTTGCCGTCCAAGCAGCGTTCACATGCCTTGCAAAGGGGCTCGACAGCGATCCTGCGGATTTTTCGGGAAATCCCTCAGCCCCGCCTGCAAAGCCTCAGCTCCGGACCAGCCTCTCCACGAGAAGACAAGTACCCCCCCCCCCCTTTTCCAAGATGTCGTGGCAGCTCCTCCTATGACCTGCAAATCTGCGAGCATCGGTTGATGAAGCCTCAATGTCTGCAGGGTGCAAGAAGGAGTCTGGTAAAAGGTTGCACTCTTGGGCCAGTGGTTGGCACTCGCTCAGACAGCCGAGTAAACCTTGCAATTCCGACAGAAGCAGAGGCCACGGCAAGATCCGCAAACCCATATAGCACGTCAGCACGGCCAGACCTAGGGTAGAGCAGAAACCTACTTCAATAGCTCTGCAAACACCCACTATGTCATGGATGTGTCTCGGCTCTCTCTACTAGTCAAGGCATACTTCCAAATCGGCCACTCCAACTACGATCTTGCAAACGCACACTGCTGAAATTGATGCCGTTACGTTGTTGCCCTCTGCCGGAACGCGAACTTCGCCGCGGTTAAGCTGATCTCTTCAGTCGATACTGTAGCCCGTCATAAGCTGAGCCGCACAGAAAGGTCAGAGCCTGCAGAGGGTCGAAGAGCAGCAACAGCAGCTTTTTGGCACCTGTCCTGAAATGGCGAGTGGAAGCCTCGCACTGTGCCACACACTCCCAACGTCTGCCGGGCAACGCGCGGCGTCCCAGTAGGCGACCAAGCCAGGCCAGATCAAGCACCCGGAAGCCGTCCGATGCCGAGTCGTCGCCTGAACTGCGAGTCGGATTTACCAGAGTGTAGCCTTCTTTGTATCCCTCTCCATATATCTGAGGTGCCTTCTTCAATGCTGCGTTGACGAGAAATGTCTGCACGTTGGCGGGCGACAGAGCAAAATGCACCTCATTTGACCAGCTTCAAAATCCTGACTGAGGACTCGTCACATTTTGGTCCCCCTGCACCCTAATTATTGTTGTAAGCCCAGCAGCCGTCCGACATGCACACCATGTTTGCTCCGATCTGTATCGGTTCCTGGGGTTGGTGTCTGTGCTCCATGTCACTCGGACGTGTGATAGAGCATCTCAAAGTATGGGCCGAGTTGCAGCATCTGAGACGACTTGCAATGCAACTGTACAGTGTTGATTGCACACCGCGAACTCGGTGTGGAGGATGTCCAGGATCGAGGATGTCATGTAATACCTGGAAACATGAGGACAACGATGCCACGATGCTCCATGTGGTCCCGGACGTGTCACAGCACTCTCAGCATAATTCAGTCGGAACCACCATCACAAAACAAATTGGGGCCAAGTGGCAAAGGAGACATCATCACCAGCAGGGCTTTCAGCCCCTCCCATGCAGGATTACGAATGTTGAAGTTTCGGCATGGAAAGGTCGTTGAACCTGCCATGTTCACACAGAAAAAGAATGATGCCCAGCGTCCTGACCAAAGTGGAGCGAGCCCATGAGCATGATCTGAAAGGCTTTGCCTGAATCTAAAGGCAGCTTCATGTGTTCAGATGGCAGGACTCTGTGGGGCTGCCTCCTCGGACGTTCTGGGGATGCGGCCGATGCAGATCGCAACTCCCAGCCAAACCCACAGCAGCGCTGGTTCGAAATAGGACGGCTTATGCCTGCGCAGGTTCGAAGCTCCCTTCGAAGCACCCGTATCATGTCACACACCGCGAACGAGAAAAAGCAATGACTCCGACGGAGAGCTGGGGATGCACCTACTTCCCTACATACGCACGTGTCATCCCATCGTATTTTGCGCATGTATACGTACGTACGTACGTACCTATGCACGCACATAGCTGGGCAGTTACGTAGGTGTGTATGTATGTAGATATGCAGGTATGTATGTAGGCATTCATATCTTTACTTACCTGTGATTGCGCGTGCATACATGTATGCATGCAGTGTATGCGTATGTATATGTGTATGGAATTAGGTACGTAATCATGTATGCGTGTCTGCCTGTATGTATGTATGTGTGTGCGTATATGTATTTAGATATAAACCTGTATGTAGGTACGTACGTACCTACCGTAGGTACCTACATATATGCACGCAGGCACAACGTGTGCGCACGGACAGGCACAGACAGACATCCATGTGTGTATGTGCATACATGCAATATATGTGGCATGGGCAGCTCAGTTGCATCAGAGGAGCTTGAATTTCAGCAGAATTCCATCTCGAAGCGCGGCCTCGTCAAGTAGCTTTGCATTGTTTGGGCTTTGCATTCACCTGCCCGGCCATTGCGCGACGTCAGAATCGCATGTTTTAGTCTGTATTTAGTATTTGAAATTCTTTAGGGTCGAAGCAACTAGGGCTTAGGTGGCTTAGCGTTTTTGGGTTTTGCGGGTTGTTGGATGTTAGCCAATGTTGTCAGGGTCAGGGTACGCGGCTCAAGACGTGTCACCTGCTTTCGGGGTTTTGGATGTGGCCTCGTTCTGTGGGCTTCTTGTAATGGTCTTGAGTCTTGGCTTGTTTCGGGTGCGAAGTGCTCTGGGTTTAGAGCACTCCCCAGAAAACTCGTACAGTCGAAGCGGTCCGCCAGAAACCCGAACATCTCCAGGGGGCTGCCAGGCTGCCAGGCGACATAATACAGTTGACATCGAGCTGTGGCCAAGAAAATCCGCATGACTGCCTCAACGGAGACACTGCATGCCACTCCTGTGGCAAATTGTGCAACTCATTAGAAATCCAAGACACCACGCTTCCAAACAGCAAGGGAAAGACCAGCACAAAGACGAAGCCTCACATCCGGAAGTGTACGTCGAAACAGCAATACGATACTCTCAACTTTCACAGTTTACTTCGAAGCGCTCCTCAGTAGTCATGTAAATCTGCCTGCCGCAAAGTTGGACGAGAAAATGCAGATTCCTGCTGTCGGACTGGGCGTTCGACAACTTCGGAGCCAAGCAGCCGGACAGATCCGGGTCCTCGCCGGTGCGATCCTGAGCAGCTAATATAACACATAGTATATATTGAATTAGTATTTTTAGGAATTATTACTACTGTAAAATTTAATAAGCTTGAGTCTTGAGACAGGGTTTTCGCATCCCGAAAACACCCGGTTCCCGCCTGACGGCGAAAGAACCGCTCTCCTTCGACCACCTGGGAGCCACTCCCAGCGTTGCAACTTGCACTCTCTTGCACTTGCGCCGCCAGTTGAAAGGGGGCTTTCTTGCAGAGCGGGAGGCAAAAAGAGCGCAGCCCAGAACGAAGAAGAGCACGTCGATGGCACCCTGCAACAAAATGTCCTCGAAGCGAGGCCGAGCGAGAACACGAGACCAGGTCTGGCGACGAAACCATGACTCAAACCCAAACTCTCAGTCACTCATTTCGTGTGAGAGACAATGAGGCAGTCTTTGGCGGCAAGCAAAAAAGGTGACTGCGCGAGCGAGTGTCTTCGACGGTAATTGCCCCCCGTCGTGTCTCCTTCAACACAGCCAAGAGCAGGCAGGAGACCCCCACCCACTCTGCGCGCGTGCGTGCGTGTCTGGGGCAAGACTTCTTCAGCAGATGAGGCCCCCGTGCAAACAACTGTGGACCCCCCCCTATCTAGCCTCCCGTCGTGTCTCTCTGTCTCTCGCTCTGTCTCTCTGTCTCTCTCACTGTGCGGAAGGGCTTGTCTTCCTGCCTGTCTCCGTCAGTCGGTGACATCATGAGGCTTGTATGGTCCACCAATGGAAAGCAGGGCACCATGGAGCTTGGCAGGCGAAGGTTCGGGTCGCTGACCTGGGCTGCACTGTGCCCGCTGTGCTCGGTTCAAGGACAGCTGGCCCCGAGACAGGAAAGGCAGCATATTCAAGAATCCGAAATGGGCGAGAACAAACTTTGACGGGTTACAGGCATTCTGATGGAGTGTTATTCTAGAGCGCAGCGAGGCTAGACAGGATGCCCTTGCACCGGCTCAACCTCGTGCTTTGACACGATGTGGCTGGAACTGGACTAACAACAGATTACATATCTGCTGTTAGACAAACCCTGAAGCTGCGGGAGCTGAACAGAGACCTGAGACAAACTCCACGACGTGAGCATTGAACGAGTGATACAAGGATACTGCCGATAGATGATATCAAGCCACACTTGCCAATCATGCCCCCCACCAGCTAACGGAACAGCGGAGAGAGAACAGAAAGCTTGCATGCAAACATAACGAAACCAGTAGATTCAGAGGCTTGCGTAAACAGGATGCTAACTGCTCCCTCGGGACCTGCTCCTCAGAGGTCAGTTCCCAGCCGCCAGTGAGACTGTCGCGAAGAAGTAGTGCGAACCAGACGACCTGCTGAAGATCGTGGACTTGCCCCAAACGCTATCCGAGATCCAGTCTGCGTCAAACCATCGAAGTCAGCCAAGCTGCCATGCCCACCACACAGGCCAGGGCAACAAGAAGCAAGGCATCGAGAAGGAGCCTCAGTTGTAATGTTCTGAGCAGGGCGGTCGGTGCACCTGTGTCGAAGCGACAAGTAGCCGGAGGAAGAGCCACAGTGCAAACGCAAGACTGGCCGGGATGATTTTGCTCCCCGACACCATGTCGATAGACAAGGCTTCTACAGTCGCTGCAGCCAGGAAGCCGCATCGAATGAGGCCTAAGCGCCACTCCGTAGCTGTTGGAGATCACACGACCAATAGGAATTTCGGCCGAGCTTTCTTGCCCCTTCTGCAAGGTCTGTGGATGAACAAGACTTAGTAGAGAGGGGCATCATCCCTTGACCCCGAAGCACCAAATCCTTTCTCAGCCTAACCTCTCCTTGGAGGTACAGTCGTTGGAGCGATTGAGAGACGACGAGAGCATGATGCGCATGCCGCTAGACCTGCGCAGCTGAGAGGCAGGTTGCGGATGCCTTTCCAGATGTCCGGATTCACGACTAGGCAGAGAAGATCACTGATCCTGGCTTCTTCTTTCGCACCTCAAGGCATGCCGGACATGGCTGGGCTTCTCACTGCACTCCTTCAGCCCGGGAGCGGAAACCCAGCGATGCAGCGCATTCTCCGGCTCGGCTGCAGACGAAGAGGCGCGAATTTTCTGGCCAAGGGCCGGGCTTTGTACAATCCGAGCCCCAAATGAAGTCCGCACTAGTCAGGCTACATCGACCCTCATGCCAAGGTTAAAACACTAGTGCCATGGCTACAGGAATTCGTTCCTTTTCACTTCGTTTCACTACTGGGGGCAGTTGCGCCCTAACCGCCCTTCCGTTCAGTCCTCCGGTGGCAGCTCTCACTTCTGCATCGCCGTTCTCGTTGATGACCCTTACTCGCGCGAGGTGAGACCCTGACTCCACACACCAACTTCGACTCGCAGCCAGGAGGCACGGAAACCTTGGAAGCCTCTGGAGAAGCGGCATTGACCACCGGGAGCAAGGATGCAGTGCCCAACTTGGCCATACGAGGGCTGACCCACTCTACAATCTAGTTCTGCTCTTCTTTCACGAGCCACCCTAGGTTCATCGGACAGGTCACGTCGGGACCCTCGCACTTCTCAGATGCCTTCAGAATCCAGTCTTGCCAAAGGGTGAAGTTGTGCAAGTCCTGTCAACGGGCTCAGCTTCTTGCGATATCTCACTTCAGGACAGAAGGTGAAGGTGCTCCTTCGCATCAAGCTGAAACCGATGACGAGAGGTCTCAGTGAGAGATAGTTCTGCAAGTTACACGCGATTCGACTTGCAATGATGATACCTGGGGCTCAGGCTGAGAATCCCTCTGCCTCCGGGCAAGCATGGCCTCCTGCACGGGCACCTGTGCGTTGCAGCTACCCTGGGCCCTAGGGTTCTGGCAGCTTCTCGATATCGCCCACCTTGCGCTGAAGTATCCGGAGTTGCTACATCAGTTCGGAAAGCAGCTGCCCGGAGATCTGCTAGGCCTTGCGGACAGACACGACAGAAGAGCTTCAACTGTTCTGGGTCTGCCGGGTCTGCTACCTCGGCGTCGATTGCGGCTGAGAGGCTTGAAAGCAGAAGGGCAGCCCACAGAGTCATCGCAAGATCATGGCCAGCCGAGGACAGAATTTGGCGATCGACGGAAGTGCTTGCCCGGGGCTTGGGGGATGTGCAAATGATTGAAACTTACAAAAATGGCTTACCCCGTGGATGCCCCATAAGGCCTTGAGACATGGTTGAAGCGTCGGAAATTGCACATGCAGACAACTGGGTGTCCTGTTACTGCTCCTGCACACAGTGGTGCAGAATAACGACTCCAGTGCTGAGGCCGTCGACGAATCTGGCCGACCATGACGACATAGATGCCCTTCAAGTGGTGCCTTGCAGTCGATGATTCGGCTTGTGACATCTGCGAGTGGCACAAGAGGACGCACCTGGAGATGTCGATTCCATATCGGAAAACCTGAATCCTGAGTAAGCAGACGGCACGGACACTTCACTGGTGTAAATGAAAAATCGGCCGACACCAGCTTGGTCTGTAGCATCGCGCTTCCACCATGTGGGCACCAATGTTGAAATGCCGAACGTCGACGTCGAAACCCAAGTGAGCGTTTCAGATGCAGGTTGCACTGTATCTTGCACTCTGAAGACTCTGAAGTGCCCCTTTGTCATTAAACAATGTTCTGGAAAACAGCGGCACGCGCACTCACAACAGGAAGGTGGCTGGAAAGCTGCTGTGTCTTAGCCTTTGGAAGGCAGAGAATTCTGACCCTTCAAAGGTGTGAGTTGCTGTGAGTTGTTTCGAGCCGATCACCGGATGCGAGTTCATGCAGCATGTCTCGGCTCTTGACTCTACCTGAAGCCTGTGAGAAAGTGCCGCAGACATGCTAGAGATTTCGATTTTGAGCCGTTTTCACATCTCCAGGAATGCGGCAAGCCGCTCCACTCTGCCGGCACATCTCTTCATGCGTGCTCCACCACGCCTGCCGCAACGATCTCAGAAAGAACGGGAGCTACCCTTAGCCTTAGGCCCTAAAGCTGCCTGAACCTGCGAACTCCAGCTCATGAGCCTGATCCCAGGCCGAGCGGGCCGCCGGCAGGTGTCTCTGCCAGGGCTTTCGCTGCAGACCCGGCCAGTGGAGGATCTCGGTCAAAAGGTTGAAAAAAAGGAGGGGTCGAAGAGTCAAAGGGCACTGCGTCTGATCAGTCTTAGCGTCCCTGTGTCCTGAACTCCTCAACGCTGAGCTGGGTTCCGTGCCCTGGGCCGCAAGTGGAGCTGCCGTTGCAGCCAGGTCGCCGTAATGTTTTCAGCCTTCGGGAAGCTCTGCCCGAACAGGCCGATGAACCCCGGTCCGGGCCCCAGAAGGCCTCCGGCGTGCCCCGCAGCAGAGCGTCTTCCAGGGCGGCAGAAGTCTGATCCGATGGCAGATTCGGCTGTGTCTGCAACAAAAGCTCCTATGTGGCCAAACTATAAGCACCCAAGCATCTCTCGGCTGCGTTCGTCTAACGACTTTAAGTGGTTGCATGCCCGCTCTGAGATTGGCGCCATCCAGAAGACCTCAGCAGTCTGCAAACGTGAGCAGGAAGCTCTGTGCACATCCTTGCAAGAGCTTCTGCTTCGAACAGAGAACGTCGGCTCTGATCGTTCCCCTGCTGTCGGCTGCGGCTCTGAGGCTTCAGGCGTGCGGAAAGTCGGCTTGGAAGTGGAAATCCAGTGGAAGCCGGCAGTGATCGAGATTCGTCAACTTCGAGGGAGGGACCAAGTCCTGTGAAGGTTCGTGAGAAGCTTCTGCACTTTCGTGACATCCCAGCGATGCTCCTCCTCCACCCGGATTGGAGCCCACACGGTTCCAGCCTGAATCACTGCCACGAACCCTTGGAGCCCTTGAATTCTTCTGGGCCAGGCTGGGGCCAAAACTCGTCCAAGTTCTGCCCTGGCAGAGCAGCCTCACAGCGAGAAGGATCCCGTTTAACCTGGAGGCAAGGAACCAGACGTCTGCCAGGTGGTGCCTCGGAAGTGGCCATCCTCATCCCAGGAGGCAAAGCCACGACGGTCCGACGCCTGGCGAGGCAAGTCGATATCAGCCCCCNNCCCCCCCCCCCCCCCCCTGGCGACCCTGTAGCATCACAAGATGTTGCAAGCGCATAAATGCCGACACGGCTTTTTCTGTCTGCAAAGTTCCACAGCGGCTGTCGCCGTTTTCTGATCCTCGCAAATCACTTGGGTGACTGCTGTTGGAGTCCAGAAAAGCATTAACTGGCGTCTCTTGGAAGATGTAGGCTTCGTCTGGTACCTTTCAGCAACCAGCTTGAAGGTGAAATAATAAGCCAAGAGAAGTTGAAGCTCTCGATGCCACTGAGCAGCAAGCAGGGCTGCATTCACCCAGCTACAGATACCTTCCACAGGCTGCACCCGTATGCAGCTTGATGACTCTCAGACATCTATGACTTTGCAACATTCACACGTGAGATCGAAAGCGGCCGCCCGCACCTCGCTAGCCACGCCAATGGGCTCAGCAGCAAAAGCAGAGGCATCCTGCCACAGGCCGTGCTCTGAAACAGCTCCGGGTCTACGACAAGCATAGTGCTCACGTCTTGATAATGATGACTGTCTGAAGTCGCCTTGTTCCGAAAGCTCCGCTCTTCGCAGTCGTGGTGGTGGTGGTGGTTGCCTCTGACACGAAGAACATGAGCTAGCGTGCTTGAAGTTAGGTCCAAACCGGTGTGACGAAGCCCAGCTTTCAGTCTCTTTGTTGCCAACAAGTGCCGATGATGGTCTTAGCTTTGTCTTGCTGCAATATGGCTGTCGGCATGAACGTGGACAAAGCAAGTAGTTGAGATGTACACTATACGCGAGATCGTGAGAACAGTTGAGATTCTCAGATGTATACTATACGCGAGAACGTGCTTCGAAGAACACGGCTTCGCAGCAGCTACGACATGGCCGCATCTCTGATTGATGCTCAACACCCAAAGTCGTTGCTCCGGGAACTCTCTCTGAGGTCCTAACACAGCATTCGTCGCTCGTGCACTCTTCGCCTGGCCAACTTCCGGCAAAGCGGCTGGCAAATCCAGTAAAGCTGCTTCCATGTGCTTCAAGAGCTACCGCCGCATGTTTGAGAACTTTGTCGTGTTTTTGCGACGCTATCCGAGTGGGGCGAGAGGTTGCCGGCATGCACAGACCGGACTGCCCACGGCCTTCGCAGAACTCTGGTAGGCCCTGGCGAATACGGCTACACTAGTTGCACTGTTCGCCTGTTCGCTGCCAGCCTACTGCTACCCAAAACTCTGCACATGAGTCCTCCTCCTTCAGAATTTCACCGTCCGCGCACACATCTTTGTCGCACGTCACCGGCAGAATCTGCAGAAGCACGGAAGGCAAGGGGAGCATCGTCAAGAGAATTCTGCCAAAGAAAAGATGCTCATACTCATGTGCTTCTACGAAAGGCAAGGGCTCCAAATCTGCACGCCTCGATCTTGGTCTTGAAGTTCTGCGAGCGGGAGTAGGTAGCAGGCACCCGGCTTAGAAATTGCAGCCCAGAGAGAGGGACTCTCTCTCTCTCTCCCTCTTTACAGGGGCAGGAGAAGGAAGGCAAAAAAAAACCCTCCCCCCTCCGCGCGCGATCGCGCACTCGCAGGTCTCGGCGGGTTTTAAGCACCCCCAAGAAGGTTGCCTTCGAGGGGCCCGGCTGTGCAAAGGCCAGAAAGTCCCTTTCTTTCTTTCGTCAGGCTCTCTCTCTCTCTCGCTCTTTGCTTTGCTTTGCTTTGCTTTGCTTGGGGTTAAGTCTCCCTCTCTCTCTCTCGCTCTCTTGTCTTGTCTTGTCTCCTATACGCAGAGCGGCGCACCGCTGCTTGAGGGCGTTGTAGGAGGGGTGAAAACATGAGCAGACAAGTGGCTCCGCGTAAAAAGCAATGGTTCCCCGGTCACAGGGCCAGAACCTCTCTATTTTTTTTCTCTCTGTCTCTCTCTCTCTCTCTCTGATCTAATCATGACGGTGGCTCCTCCTGGCAGGCACCTCCTCTATTAGAACAGCAAGCAGCTCTGCTGCCTGTCCTTAGGAAAGATCCAGTCCAGACTCTATACTTCAGCACTTCATGCTGCACAGTCCTTCGATGTGATACCCCCTGCCTCCAAGCTTGCCGGTTCTCAAGAGTAGTCTGCGCAGCCTCTCACTCGATTGCCTTGAAGTAATCCCTAGCCCGTTCGTCTTCGGGCCCACACTTGGGCCAGGCTTGCATGCGATGTGTCTGCTGAATTAGCTATGTAGATCGCCGCGGCTGGACTTTCTCTGAGGCCCCGAACTCGGGCAACATCTGTTTGCGTGCTCCAGCTTTCTGGATATGAACGATGCGCCTCTTGCTGACGCTGCAATGGTCTGCGCTCAGTACGCGGCCAATGCAGTCGAATCTTTGTACGGGTTTCCAACTTTTGGGATTCGCAGCTCTTCGGGGCTTAACTATCAGGCTCCGAAGGGGTAAGCTTCGTGTCTTGCAGCACCCGCCACCTCTCTTGCAAATGTTCTTCTCAACACTGACAATCAGAATGAATCACAACATCGTACAAGCATCGCAAAATCCACTGTCTTCTAAGTGGCGCAATCAAATTGCATCCGACGCCAGCAGAGTGGTCGGGAGAATTACAATCATTCTCGTTGTTTGTGACCTTGGCCATCAAAGGCTTTTGCCCATGAGCTCATAGTGCGGCCAGTCAAGCCCGGATGATCGGTAGCATTGATCTGAGATCGCCACGAAACCGTAGCGGCACCTATTCAAGGGCTGGAAGCCTGACGTTGATGCTTAGACGGGATGGCGACAGGCAACATTAAACCTAGCACAGGACGGGCCTCTTGCATTGCAGTTGTGTTGGTAGCAGTTCTTCGTCACCGCTCGCCAGTGATTAACGTCACCGTGAACCACATATCTCCCGGTGAGCAAGTCCTCCAATCAAAGACGACGAGCTGCTGAGCTTCATCAACAAGCAGAGTTATGTTGAGCCTAAGCACCGAAGAGGGCACCAGTTCAGAACACGTTTTAGCGCATGCCAAGCGGAAGCTGACGGTCTTCGTTTCTGCCGTAACAAGACTTTCCGCGAAACAGACTCGAGATCAAGCAATGGACGCACCTGCCAGCGTTCCAGTCGCGAGTCCACGAGATGTTCCCCTAAATTCCTTGATCATCATAAAACATGAAGCTGTTCTTACAGTTTCCCTTTGCAACTTCCAACCTCGGGCTGATGTACGCGATCATGCTTCACTTTCGCGGCTACTTGTAGGGCAACCAACCTGTACACAACCAAATCTAGCTTCAAATGGAGCTTGACTATCGTGCCACAGCTGCCGGTGTCCTTCAAGGTCTTTTTGGCGTTGGGGCTGTAAGTGAACTCTCCTGTTCGAGGGACAAGACCAAGTATGATGCGACATCTGACAGGCAAAGACTCCAAGCAAAGCAAATGATCTATGCATCTCTTTATCCTCGCGGGGCACCTTCGAAAGTGAATTTGATCTTCCTTGGCCGGAAGCGCGATCTCGGGAAAAAAAAAAGTGCAGGACTCGTACCGTATGTATCACCAAGCCAGCAGGGCACAGAAAGACCCACAATTTGACAGCATGATCAGCTGTGACAGGAGCCCTTCCTGACATAACTCAGGAGGATGCTTTGCCCTGACGCAATAGAACTTCGTCTTCTTGTCGCCGCCAGCATCAAACTCATTGCAGTTGGTCCATCCTCCCCAGTTATACATCATCACCTTATTCAGGAGTTCTGCGCTGCAAGGTTCGTCCAATGGATTCAGCTCATTCGACGAGCCTGATTCAGCCCAGGCGCGTTATGCCTTGACACATAGACTGCAAGCTGCCAGTCTGCAGAGCTTTCATTGGAGACGATCTCCTCGGGAGCTGAGCCACTCGCAGGCCTACTGTAGGCACCCCCTAAAAGCCGATATCGGTATCGGTGGCCATTTCAGCCGCGGAACTTCTTCCGTGTGTGCTTCCGCCTCCGCCTCAGCATCGACATCATCTTGAATCAGCTTCGCAGAGCGGATGAGGTGTCCTGTGGCCAAGGATTCTCAGAAGCGCCAAAAGGAGCTGAGAAAAAGAGCCGACGAGGCAGAGCCGAGCGAGAAGGGAAGGTCCCGGTCCCAGCGTGGTAACACCATGTAACACCATGGGCTTCCTCGATGGCTCCCTGCGTCTTGGTGCATCATTTTTTTGCTGTGGTGTCGTGCATGGTTGCCGCTGAAGTCCCATCATTTGCAGCGAATCCCCGCGGCCGATTGTTAGATACACCACATGGACCACCTTTTGCAATTGCTCTCGAAAACCCCTTGAGTCGCAGCAGTACTGGGGGACCGAATATGGGGTGTCCCTCTGCATCCTGCACGCAACGCACCAGTGCTTGGGGGGAAGGCAGATTCGTGCTTCCTGCTGGTCTGCTGGGGTCTCCTGCTGGGTTGTCCGCAGTGCTCGTTGTGGCTCTTGTCTTCTGATGATCTCTTGGTGTTTCGGACCCAGAAGAGGCTGCCCAGGGGCCGACTTGCTCTGGGCAGGGGAACGCCAGCAGAAACGGCAACAGCCGAGGCACACAACATCTTTAGAAGACTCGAGGCACCCGTCCTTTGGCACCTGCGACGTTGGCGGCGCTTGTCATCGTAAAGTCATGGGAAGCGTTTGTTACCTCAGCACCGAGTTGCGCAGCTTGGGAGCGAACTTTGAGATACTCTCGGGGCTCTTGAACCACCTATCTCGTAATTGCTCTGTGCCTCGCCGCCAGCATGGACTTGAATTGAATGTTGTGGTTGGGAGGCGCATCTCGCAAACAGCGTGTGAACAGCCAAGAGCCTCGGCTGTCAACGCTCACAAGCCATAACCTCGAAGCCTCCCGTAGCCCCAAAGCCCAATCCGGCGTACTCCTCAACCCCCAATGTCGACGCAAGCGCAAGTCGAGCAAAACACAAACAATTACCTTACCAATGCATACGTGGGTCAGCCTGGGCAGGGCGGGCATGACATGAAATATCGATCTGCCAAACAACTCGCACGTAAGTTGAGCCAGTTGCAGCCTGCATGATGCACCTTTGGTCGCAAACCTTGTGGCCGAAAGCCCAGGCCAATCAGACAAGCTTCTGCAGGTGCTGCTTAGGTCCTCCGATCCTCCCCCGCTTGAAACGCATGCAATGGCTGCTGGATTGCACAGAGAGCCTCCAAGAGGAAGATGTCCAAGAACTGTTGAAAAGTTGGTGCGGCACCCTGGGGCAGGCTGCGGGCCCCCGACTCAAGGGATCTCGGATCAAAACCCATGTTTCTCACAGCTTCTCAGGTTTCCCTGGCGCTGAAATAGACATTGGGGGGAAGCCTGCTGTGCCGAAGCTGTTGAGAAAGGACTTGGCAGACTCCCAGTCAGAAAAACAACTACGTGTGCGCAACAGCTGCTTCATTCCCTGTTACTGGTATACACAGACTTTGAAGGAATAGGCGTCATCGGCATCCCGGCCCCTCCCCTGCGCTGCGGAAGAACACGTCAGCAATGGCCCGAAGCTGCCATGTCCCCAACCTCCGCGTAGTGCTGCACTCTGCCTCTGAAGGCATCGGTGGCCTCGAGTTGCAGAAAGCCCCCAAGTCACGGAAGGACTTTCCTGTCTGGGCTTGCAGCGGCCACAGCATGCATGTAGTGCAGGAATTGACGATCAGGGTGCAACGAGACGACCTGCCCATGACTGGGCTTGAACCGGCGAACGTTCTGGCGTCTCATGCTACGACTGGGTCTCTCCGGGAGTCGCACTCCTGCATTGAGCATGTATGTTCGACCTGCGGCAAGGCAGCCAGACGAAACAAGCAGGATGATCCTCCCCTTAACTTGAGCTCCCGTCTTCCATCATGCCGAGAAAGATCAAGTTGCTCCTCGGGGAAACGTAGAAAGGTGTAGCCTCTCACAGGAACCTTCTTTTGGGTACGTGTCCTGATGCATCTCATAGCCGGAAGCCACCGAGACGGCGCCCAAATCGAAAAGCTCCTCAATGTGAGGCGGAGACACAAAACTCTTGGCGCGGAGCACACGGAGCACGTCGAGCAGGTTGTGCAGGCCAGTCTCATCGCAGCTCTCTAAGACCAGCGTGTCTGCCTCCAGCAGCCCGGACTACTCTGACTACTCACATTTTTGACAATGACATATGAAGAGCTGGATGGCACTGGGCTCCGCGCGTCCAGGATCACCACCTTCAGAACACGAAGAAGAGCCGTTTAGGGTTGAGGCTAAAGCCCCTAAAGGCCCTAAACCAGCCGGGCTCGAGCCCCGGGCCCGGTCGAAGGGCAGTGCCCAGGCAGCGAGCTGGGGAAAGCTGGGCGGGAGCCCTGCAGCCGTGGCTTCAAAAAACGAGTCCGAGAGCCGATTTTTCAACCGACAAAATGCTGGGGGTTTCGGGCCTCTCTCTTGGAACCAGGCTCCGGCACCCCTCAGAGCAAGTAAGTGATCCGGCAGAGGCTTGCTTTGCCGCAGAATCTGCCTGGCTGGGGGCAGCAGCTTCTCAAGTGCCGGTAGGCTCCTCAGCTTGCAACCAGGATCACTGTCACATCTGTCATCCTTCTTCCTTGTCGGAGACAGGTGCAGTGCCAAGAGCTGGGCTGGTTCATCTCAGCCACGTCGCGCACCTCCAAGCCGTGCATCGTCAACTCCTCTTGAGGAATCTCGAGGCTGCAAGGAACAAGATCGGGAAACTGAAATCGCCCAAGCGGATGCGGTGCAGGATCCTTCACCACTTCGCCGGAAAGTTCGCCAACGGCCAATACAATGAAAGGTCGCCGGCGAGGAGCCTACGAGTATCAATCATACTAACTTGAAGGAAGACATGCAGACAGAGCGCGCAGACGTGGCCAGGCGCCGCCTTTTTCAAACGGGGATGCCAGCATTCTACACGAAAGTGTTAGGAGGACTCGTGGGATCGCGTGCTCAGTCGATAGGAGATAAGCATGCCTCTTGAAGCCAGGCGCGGGTCCCGCGTGTCTTCCGACCATTGTTGAAAATGTAATCGGTAGTACACAATACATCTCAGGCGTTGTACGAGGATCTGCAGCTGCAATGTCCTCCACACATCCTTTCTCTCATCCTCTCATTTTTATAGTTGCGACTATACGACTTCTGCGCCTGGAGTGGGTTCGATTTAACTTCATCTGACATCGGTACACAGAAGAGTTCACCTTCTTGGGACTCGTGGACGCCATTGCGAGCCCCCACTACTCGTCAACCCAATCGTCCAAGACCTCCGCACTGGGTACATGGCTTGATATGGCTGGTGCCAGGCGGGGCAGATCCCGGACAATCAGGTGAAGTGCATTTTTATGAAACGCATCCTGTCTGGCTCGGACTAGCTGCCTGCGGTTGATGCGAAACATTGAAAGATATCCTCCTTCATCATGCCCAAGCTGCTTCCTTTTGTCCTAAGCTTGCAACACCAACTTATCGGCCAACAAGCGCTTCTTTTCAGACTCTTGGTAGATCACTTCCCGGGCTCTTGTTGCCTTGATGTCTTGCTCTTTAGCATCGCCACCAGCTAGGCGAGGTGCACCCAACATTCTGCCGCACAGCTGACCGCTGCAGCTTTGCGGCTGCTGTTGGCGCAAAAACAACGGATGCCTGTGCGCTCATCGCCGGGGCGGCCGTCGAGGGGGTGGGGCCTCCTCCTCCACATAGAGCTCCGGGTCCTCAATCTATCAGCCAAATCTGAGACCTACGATTGTTGGCCACTTTCGCTGTGTCCTCCAAGAAGCAAGAGATCTGGTTCTTGTCCAAATCCTGGGCAGAGTCAGAGTGAATCCCTTCTCGGCGCCAGGGGCCGCCAGTGCCGTCTGACGGCAACAGACTCGATGAGCATGCCATAGATCTCGTCGCCCTTTCGCATATCCTGCCATAGAGAGCTGCAAAGCAGAGCGAAGCAGCTCGGCTCTCATCAGCGGGTTCCGGTGAGCCCTGCGGCCCCCGCCTTGGCCAAGTCCTTTGAGACGCTGAGGCGAGCGTCTTTGGTGCAGCCAATGTTCACGAAGACGCCATACCTCTTGAAAGCCGCTACGAAAGATGCAGCCTTAGAAACACGAATTCGAGGGGGCGATCTTGTGCTCTCAGGCCGGGCGGCTGGTTCTTGTTGGTGACGATGCCGTCCACGCTGGAACCAACACGGAGCTTCTCGATGGGAATCCCTGCGCGAAGTCAACAGAAGGCATGGACTACAGTGACTACAGACTTAGTGCTTCAGTGACTGCACGACGAGCTGGACCCACATGCACTGTGCTCTCGCTGCAACTGGAATGCGAATGCTTGGGAGCAGCAGTACTTCTTGCTTCGTCTTTTGCGAGGCCTTCCTCCGCTCGCCGTCCTCCAGGCGCTGGCGATGCAGAGCGCGCCTTCGCCGTAGCAGACTTCGCCTTGTCACACGTGTCACCAGCTCACTTTTCACATGTCTGACGCTGCCCCGGCTGCCAAGAGACGGAAGCAAAAAGGGCCACGCTTGACCCGAGAGGTTTCGCAGTTTCTTGCTTTCTTGAAGTTTAGGGTTGCTCGGAATGCAATGTGGATTCTAGGTGCCGTGCTTCTTCAACACTTACGCACCCTTTCTCGCAAGGCCTTCGGCGTCGCCTTCGCCGTTGCCGCCTTTGGCGTAGCCTTGGGCGCTGCTTTGGCAGTGCCCTTGGGCGCTGCTTTCGGCTTTGGTGATTGCGATCTGGCGGCGGCGCCGGCGGCCTGAGACTCTGTCAATGAGGAAGGAACAGTCTGAATCGATCTGCTGCACAGCTGTGCCGGCCTTCGGCGTGGCCCGCGCCGGCTGCGCGGCAGCCTTTGGTGCCCTCCCCTGCTCCTTCCATGTTGATATCGCAAAAGCGGAACTAATAGGATGGCGAAGGGCAACGAGCGAATCGACGCGGGTCGAAATCTCCTTCATCGGCATGCCGCGCATGGCAGCCTGATCACATCTGATCACACTGGAAGGACAGATATGGCATGGTCTGGCCATATTTCTGGCAGTACCTTTCACCAAGAACAGCTCGGACGATGCACGCCCGTTTGGGCGAAGTCCCTGCCTTCATCGCCTCGAGCTCCTGAAGAGATGTCCGTTTCACACTGGTTCAGGCTTCGCCTTGAAAGGCTGGCTGATCGCCCTGGTTCGAGGGAAAGGGGCGCAAATGTGGCCTTGTATGGCAATGGGTGGGGTCTGCAAGCCCCGCAATAATAAGCGCATTGCTATCGACCGCCCCGATCACAACCCGAAAAGTGAATGCCTACACGGTATGCCCTTTTCTCAGAGTCCTTGCGAAGGCGCTCCATTTCCAGGTCGCGCTCATCCGCTCCCTTTCGGGGGCTTTGGATGGTTTAGGGTTGAGGGGTTTAGGGTTTAGGGTTTAGGGGGAGTGAACCTGCAGGTGCCACAGCTTCAAAGTCTTTTGTCTCAGGCTATTGCTCGCAGCATGCCACATGGCTGCCACACGTCTGGCCAACGTCCGGAAGTGCGCGCGAGCTTGGACTGCTTGCATCAATCGGCATCCCCTGGCGGTCGTCCAAGCTGACCTTGAAGCATTCTTCCTCTCGCATAGCGGTGCATTGTCGCGGCGGAACCACCCCTATTATAGACTCTAGACAATGTACGCTGCAGTGTGCAAAATCGGCGTGCAAGCTGCCGTATTGCAAGGCGAACAGAAGCTGGCATGCACGACCTTCCCATGCATGCGGCAGTGGCATGAGCTTGTGTTGCATCCTAACCGCTTCGAAAACACAGGTGGTCTGCTGGGAGTGCTTTGATGGAGAAACTTTCAGCTTGCATATGACGAGATGCCTTGCGAGTCGATCGCGACTGCCGGGAACACAGCCAGCAAGCACAAACGGAGACAAACCCGTGAGGCTTGGCGTATGGAGATGGGACGCCAGAAATGTTGCACCAACGCTGCTGCGCACTGCCCGGCCTTGCCAGCCCCTTTGGCTTTCGCCTTGCAGTGACGGTATCGGTGCGTTCTCACAAGAGACCATGCATGTTCAAGAGAAAACGAATCTCCGAAACGATGCTGCTAAACAGCTCTTGCTACGAATGGGCTGTGCAGATATCACCATGAGATGCACTTTCCATGCTCATCTCCTTGCCAGGCGCCCGCCTTGGGCTGGGTCTTGGCCTGCGGCCGTGGCGACTGCGCCCGCTGAGCTGCCGCGGCCTTGGGCTTAGGCTTTGCCTGCCAGGCGCCAACAGCAAAGACACTGCCAGGCGAGGGGACCCTGGCATCGCAGAAACTCGAAGAGAGACAGAGCCTGGCCTGGGCTTTGGTGGCCGGACGCGGTGCTCGCTCCTGGACGACGGTCAGTCGGTTACTTATGCACTCGGCAAGGCTGCCAAAGATTCCCAAAAAAACTCGGGGCGCCTTTGGCGGAAGGTCTCTAACCACAGCCTGGATCAGGCGAAGATGCCAAGCAGCACAGAAACTTGTACTAGTCGGGATGTCGGGAGCTGTCTGGCAACCCCAGGCTGCACTCAATGACCGCACTTACCTGATATGACCTAGAGTAGGTCCCCCCCTGTCGAGCCTAACCGTAGACAAGGCCATGAAACATGAAACATGCGAAGTTCTGCCGTCCCAACTTCCCGTTTCACGTGGAGACTTGTAGCCCAATGCGCTGTTTGGCTGTATTAGCACGAATCTCGACACCTCGGCATCCGGAAGACTGGCAGACATGCGCTGCTGCTCGAGGTCCACAGTCTCGATCACGCATTCCTGAGGCTCTCACAAGATGTTTGTCTGTCAGGTCAGAATTCAGGAGCTCACCGGCAACACTAACAGTCACTAACACGCTGACACGGCTTAGCCCTCTCTCTCATTCGAGGCCATGTGTCAGGGACGACATCGCCGATGCTAAACCTTCGCCCAATGGTGGCTGGGATGTTCAGGCGGGCATCTCTCACCTCGGAGTAAGGTCGCTCAATTCGAAATTGGTGCAGATGGCCTATAGGATCACCCTCCAGAGTTCACTAGGTTCGCTAGCTGTCCAGAGCAAGCTGTTGGAGGTGTACACAGCTTCGGCTTCGCACGATTGCCGAGGTGCTGCGCCCACATCAACAAAGACACCGTACACGCTGACGTTGGTAACTCTGCCTCCACATTGAAGGGCATCAGCCTACCCTCTGCCGCCTGACATCCAGCCAGCCTTCAAAGACATCGCCAACCGAGATCTCTTCCAGGGCCGTGGCACCTGGATCGACATGGATGATCGACCGAAAAATGGCTGCCAGCGATGGGAACAGGCTGGGAAAGGTTTGAACTCAGGATTGGATTGGGTATATTGGGTGTATGAGATTTCTTTTGAAGGAAGCCGCACAAGTAGCTTGAGCCCGCTTGATAGTTCCTTCAACTTGCCCTTCCGGGCATTGTCTTGGACAAGAGGTTGGTGGATTTGCGTCGAGGTGGGGTCTCGGCAAAGCCTCAGCCAAGGCAGCCAGGTAATCGCCATCCTTTGTTATTTGTCTTGTGTCTACAGCCATCGTAGACTCGCCGTGAGGTGTGACCCTGTTGGCTCAGAATGGCAACAAATCAAAAGACCTGCAGGTAGCACAAGGCCGCTTCAGCATCGGCCGTCCCTACTCCAGATGCATGGCTTCGAGGCTCTCCAGGGCAGCTTGGGGTCTTCCGGAGAGGCTGAGAGTTTTTGCAAGCGCAGTGTGGCAGATGACTTTGGGCCCTACACCATGCAGGAAAAGCTGTCTTTGAACGAAGTTGTTCTTGGCAGTCTCGTGAACGCAGCCGGCAGAAATGTTGACTGGCAGCGTGCCGACCGACTCTGGCAACTGCTGAACCGTCTTCTCCAACCGTTTGTGCACGCGCGGCTGGTATTCACGGCTCTCGAGCAACATCGGGAAGGACGCATACGTGACGATGTTTTTGCATGCGGTTGGAAGCACAACCACTCGTGCAAGATTGTCGCCCGCTCACAAGCTGCCTTGCACCGTGCCTCTGCGGGCAAAGTTTAACTCTACATCGTTAGAAGTATCCGTCAAGTTTGCATTCCCTTTTGCAAGGCTTCGCTTTCAGAAACGCCAGTGTTTTTGAGGCAGCACGAAGCCATGGCATTCAAGAAATGGAACTTTCAACAATCGAAAAGGTTCATCGAGTTCTCCAGCTTAAGCTTTTCGATCTCAAACACGGTAGCCACATTTCTGCATAGATGCACCAATCACCCAATCACCCTACCATCGACCTCATCACTGTCGCGAGCGAGAATGAGGATCTCCAACAGGTATTCAGATGTCTTTGCCTTCTTCACACGGCCATGCCAACGAGCGCAACTTGCACCGCGTGGCACGTCAGCAGTGTCCACGGGAGCTATCAAGAAATGGAGTTGGGCTCCTGTATGACCTGTCTGCGCACAGCATGCTTTTTGTTGCCTTTGCATGACGCGGTTGCGCTTGTTGCCTGGTACCTGCTGCGGTCTCGAGTGGCGGCTCCGTGCGGAAGGGACGCACACCAATGAAGCGGGAAGCTGTCTCGTCCAGGTGTCGCGCACAGAACAGACACGACGCGGAAACCATCGCCTGAGCTGCCTCAGCATGCTGCAGGACTGAGACGACGATTCTGTGCTGCTGCTGGCGGTGCTGCTGCACTCATCTGGCCGTGTGCAATGGCGCAATTGAATGCGCAAGCATGCACAAGCCGTATCGCTGCGGTTCCCGGAACAGATCAGCAAGTAGATAAGTTCAAGGTTCCTCAGATTGGAAGCAGCGTCTTGTTGAGCAGAAACCCATAACTTTCAGAGTACTTGTAGCCTAAAGCCAGGACCGGCCCACCAGGATGAAGCTCGACTACGGCTTGGCTGAGAGCTGAAAAAGCCTAAGGCCTAAGGCCTAAGCCTCCTGCCCCTGCCCCTTGATTCTTTTACAGGGATTCTGAGTGTAGACGCTGAATGCCATGAGTTGGCCCCGTCCTGCCTGAGTGATCCCAAGTTCTGCGGGGCCGGCTTCGCGTCCTGACTCTACACAGGCGCCGGCTCTGGATCTCGCGAACCGGCGAACGGCGGCCCCGCATCATCACTCACATATGTGTTCCATTCAAGACTTGTCTGCCTTCTTCCCTCTCTGAGTTCTAGTGCTTCCCCTTGCTTCTCTTTCCGAAGGAAAATATGCACTCAGCCCAGCGTCCTCGTGGCTGCTTTCGGCGCTGCGCCGCTCTTCGCTTTGGCCGCGGGCTTCCGGGGCCTCTCGGCACCAGGGATGGCCCAAAACGGGGCTCCCGGCGGGAGTTTTGGGGGGAACTCTCCTGGCCTGGATGGGAGATCCTCGAACTGGGACTCATCTGCTTCCATGACGACCTCTCATCGCACAGCTCATCGCAGCTCACTACTCACCCTTACTGTTTCAGAACCCAGCAGTGACTCTGAGCCGCCTTGCCAGCCGCAGCGTCGATGCTCCTGGGCACAGCGCTCTCTCGCAAGTCGCAGCAAGCATGCCCAAACCGCCGCAGCCAAGAGGCAAGATCGTCAGGCCATCCACATCCATGCCCTTCTTCAAGCGCCGGCCGACCCTGGGATGAATGCAAGTCCATACAGTAACTGAAAGTCTAGACCTGATTTCGCCCAGCCGCTTTGTCGGGACTTTGAGAAGTGCATCCTTCACCGCCCCGAAGTCTACGAAGACGCCATACCTTGGCCGTCCGGGAAGCATCTTCCACAGATTTCTCAAACAGATGCCACAATCAAAACCTGACCGCAACCTCATTTCGTCCATCAAGCTGCTGGCCCACGTTGGTGACACGCCCTGAATACGTCAACTCGCTGTCGACATCTTCCAGAGCTGTAGCACCGTCATGAGACCAGTCCTGTCAGGACGAAGGTGCGAGACTCTGCATGGCTCCGCTTCCCCTCTTTTCCTGGCCTTTGGCATGACCTAACTAACCCCCCCAAGAGAGGCGCTTTGGGCCAGCAGTCTCGAGCTCTCCAAACGTCCCCCGCGGATGATGGAACGAGGCTGCATGGCACATGATGGCACATGGCACATGGGGCTCTGTCTGTGCAGACTTTCAAAGAAACAAGCAAGCAGAGGCAGAGTCTAAAGCTCCAAACACCTCGGCCTTTCTCGCCGAGAAGGCCAGCGTGCGGATGGCCTCTGAGAGTGGCTCAAGGGGCTCGCTCGGGCCTGGGGGCTACACTCCGAAACTTGCCTCGGAGTAGAGCAAGGCGCGGCGTTCGGCCTCACCACTTCCCGAATTGGCTCGCGGTCAGGGCGCTATATACGGACTACCGAGAAGACGCGGGAAGCTTTCGTGTTCTCCGTCGACGCGGTCTTTCCGCCCCTCCCCAAGCTCCGCAGCCTCTCTGCCTCGGCCTCCCCAGAGGAGGACGACCCAGGCCTGCGACAAAGCACACGGAAACGACGCCGATGGCTTTGGCGTTGCCAAAACAGTCGTTCTGCTTTGCTTTGCGAGTTTCGGCGTCTCCTCCGTCTGCTGCTCCGCCCTCGGCTTCGGACCTGGCCTGCCGGGCTCGGAAGGCTCTGAAAAACCGAGGCGAAGCTGTGACGCCCGCAGACGCCCGCCGCACCTGCCCTGGAGCTGCCGGAACAGAGCTGAGACGAAGTTCGCCTGAAAGGCGGTTTGCCAGCGGGGCACTCACAGCTGAAGCCCACCGCATTCTGACTCTAACGAAGCATCTCGAGCGACCTCGGCAATCAATGAGCCCTGCTCCAAAATGCTCTCCGTCACCGGATACATCCTCCGGAGAAATGACCACAAGCCATGAGAAGACGGCAAAAGGAGCAGGCTCCAGTCCTGTCGGCCGTTGACAACATCGCCTCACGCGTCACCCATAGCCATAGAGAGAACAACTCCCTGCAGCTCCGAGCTTCGCACATGTTTCGTCCGAAAATGCAACTGTCTTACTCGCCGCTGCAATCGCTCCAGTCGGGGCAGTGCCTCGTAGCCGCACCACATCGCACAGAGCTCCTAAAAACACTCCAAGGATAAGAGCCGCGCTATGTCTCCGGCGATCAGGATGCCTCGACTCCACGCTAGTTGAAAACAAAAAAGTCAGCTCCGCACAGCTCCAGCGAACGTTCGGCCTGCAGCGAGACGTGCCGCTGGCCCCAAGGAGGCGCGGGAGGAGGGGGGGTGAAACCAGCGGAGCAGCCGCTGGAGCCTGACATCTCGTGGTCCGCTCTGCTCTGCGGGACGCCAAGAAAGCTGGTCGCTCTCTGGGTCTCTTGCGAGCTTTCAGCAGCGTCGAGAGCATCATCAAAGCGCTTGTGCCGCATTGCAGACCTCAACGCAGATCTTGCTTCATGGCTGTCTTTTGCACCCGTCACCTTGGATACCGGTGCTCCGGCTGGCCGAAACTGCTCTCCGCGTTGCGGAAGATCTCCTCTTTGCACTGACTGGGGAAAAATTTCGTTTAGGAAGCGGAGAGCACGGCCTAAGGCTCCCTTCGCTCCTCTGCCCGCTGCAGTAAGTGTTCGGCCTCGGGCAAACCGCACAGACCCGAAAAAAGCGGCGAAACAGCGCAAAACCCACGGCAGCCGTCTTCCCCGCCTCGAGGAAGGGGCAAGCCGCACCCTGCAACAGGTTAGCGTGCGCTTCAATGCCATCGCAAGATGTTCAGGGACGGCAGGGGGGGGGGGGGGGGGTGGCCTAAAC